CACACCAAAAACTGAAAGAAGAAATAAAAATAAACAAATTTTGCAAATAAGATGGTAAGTGTCATTCAAGCAGAGAAGAATGGACTTTTGCAAGTTTCGTCACTTCTGTTCTTCAGGAATTTTTCATTGTCATATTCTCTCTCTCTCTCTCTCTCTCTCTCTCTCTCTCTCTCTCTCTGTCTTTGTCTCTCTGTCTCTGTGTTTCTGTCTCTGTCTCCCTTTCTCTATCTCTTGTCTCTGTGTCTCTGTCTCTCTTGTTCTCTCCATCTCTGACTCTGTCTCTGTCTCTGTGTCTCTGTCTCTGTGTGTGTGTCTCTCTCACTTTCTCTCCCCTCTCTCTCTCCCTCTCTGTCTCCAAAATGAGAAAGAAAACTGTAGTTGCATCTCCTTTCAAATATTCCAGTCTTTAAATGAAAACTGATAATAAAATGATCAATTTTTACTACAAATAACCTCTTTTTTTTTTTTGCTGTGAAAACATTCTGTTTTGTTGCACATTTTACAAAAATAACATTTATGTTAGGAAAGTAATCTGCCTTGAATTTACTGAAAGGAATAATTTTTATGAGCATCGAGGATATGCGCCTCTATAGAAATTCTGTTTCACTATGTTTTGCTACCATTCATTAGGAAACTGCCTGTTATATTCTTGGTAAATACATTATATGCCATCTAATTAGATATATGAATTATGACTTGGTTAGAAGAAAATATATTATTATCAGAGATGTAGAATAACAACTCTGATACACAATAATATTTTTTAACATTATTAAATTGAGCCAAGTAGCATATGTTCTACTATCACTAGGACAGAAATAATTTTAAAAATTTTAAGAGTTTCTTTAAATGAGTTTATATTTTCTTGTAATTTAATAAATACAGGCTAAAAAAAGAGTACAGCCCTTCACTTTGATAAACAACTTAAAATTTTAAAGAAGCATACCTTTTGTTATGAACTGTTTTGCTGCAAATTTTATTTAATTTAGAGGTTGTAGCTCTTTGTCCTTTGAAGTGTTTTCTATAGATCTAAATGATGCACATTTACTAAAAGTAAATTCTGCAGGATAGCAGGTAAGCAAAAGCCTTAAAATAACTACTTTGTTCCAAGTGCCAAAATGATGTAATAATTTTCCTTTATATTTGAAGTTTGAATTCCAAAAATACTGGATTGAAGTTGTTAGACACAATAACCCAAATGTACAACTCCATTAGGATCAAACTGATTTTCTTCTATGCATTGGCATGTTACTGAGATTTTATCAGCAACATCAGTTACACTAGAGATCATCTATCCCAAAAGTTACAAAGCTTTTTTTATCAGAATTATAAGCTTTGTCAACACAATTTTTCTTAGAGTGCCTTTAGCACAAAAGATGGTATATTACAAATGTTTTATAACTATTTTATGATTGAATATTAAAACCTTTACTTTCTTGATTATGTTTTTTCAAAATTCATAAAAATCTTTGTAAGCAATTTTTCTAATGAATGCCTCAGTCCATTACTATGAATACTTGCAGAGTTAATCCATCTCTCAAAATAATTTTTATGAACAATATGTGACAGTTCTAAGCATGTTTACAACTGACAATTTAAATTAACATGTAGAAATACATGTCGTACTTTTGTTTGCATTCATTTATTATTCAAAATGAAATAAATATGCATACCTTATGTCTTTTGCAGATAGGAAATATTGTTAAACAGTTTTTTTAAAGATCGGGTTTAGTCTGCCATTTAACGATACAGAAAATGTAAAAATGCCTTCAGTTCTAAGACAAACCTAACAATGAAATAGTTCTCGTGTAATCTTCTTCAGCTGCACTCCTCAGCATCCAGAAATGGAGTACTCTTAAGGTTTCCTACCTGTATGATAAACATTCTCTACAAGACTCTTCTTGGAATCCATCTGGCTTTACCTCTACTTCATTTCATTGCCGAAGCCAGTCCACAGACTCATTCTTTCTAGACGTGGGCAGCTCAGGTGAAAGGCACAGAGTGCCAAGTCAGGGTCGGTGTATGTGGTAGTCAGACAGTTCTGCACTATGCAATGACCCGTACCCCGTAGGGGCCGCTGTCAGGACTTGCGCTCTCATGAATAGGGGTAAAGCATAACATGAGAATGTTTCATGGCCTTTCAAAACACAAAAAAGCTGCTGAAATGAAATACTGAACTCAGTGTCTTTGAGCGCAGCCCCAAGAACTGAGAGTGACAGGTAGGATGCCCCTATAATAAGCTGAGAAAGAGTGACAATTTTCTCACTGTTCTCTTTTGGGGAGACAGAGCAGAGGAAAAGATGATGAGCTACCAGGAGCCTGATCAATTGATGCAGGCAAAGAGAGAAAAGAGTCCACAATAACCTTCAGAACTTCATTCATTTTACTCCAGTTACACAGAAACATTCAATGGCAAAATAAAATAGTTTACTCATTAGATATGAAAATGTAGCTCATGTGCTTTGAAGAAATTCATTTACTATGGTGCAACATCATAATTTAAAGTTTTGGATACAGAAAGTTCAGCATATTAATGAAGACTTTGACTTCTGAAAGGATTCAGATAGTTCTTGAGACAGCAGACAAGGAGTAATGTTGAGTCTATTCTAGGACAAGTGAGTTGGGTAGCAAACGTAGATCCATTTCTGTCGCGGACTGTCTGCTCATGTCAGCACTGTACAAGGTGAGTCTCCTTCACTGAGTGCGTGAGGTAGTACGGTCCAGACTACAGCATACTAGTCCTCACAACTCTGGTCATAGAATACTTTATGAGCTTAAAAATTCAGGCAATTCCAGAAAACTTTTTGTTAAGCTATTTTTGTTTTTTGTTTGTTTGAGACAGGATCTCACTATGAAGTTCAGGCTGGCTTTGAATTCACTGTGCGCCCAGGCTGGCCTTGAATTTATGGTGATCCTCCTGCCTCAACCACCTGAATGCTGTTGTTACAGATCACACTCTGCCTTTACCTACATGATACTGCCTTATATTTTCTGTCTTTAAACATCAAAATTAAGAAAACAAATTGAGAGCACCCACACAAACACAGATTATATTAGTTAAAGCAGTGACATCTTCAAATGTCATGTAGCCTATGAGAGAGAAAAAAGAATGAAATTTCAAATAGCCATGTATTGTTAGCATGAAACTAGTTTACACGGTTCTCTAAAAGGATGTCAAGAACCATCACCATCATACATACCACTGAGGACCACTACTCTAGTATTCGTTACATGACTGGTGTTTACTGAAGCGTGCATTACAGTCTACTAAGATATTGTCATCATTTCATTTTGGAAAGTTTAAACATATTTTCATTTAACGTGTGGGTAACTGAGTCTTAATGAAGAAAGTTCCTTTTCTATGGTAATGTAAGTCATATTGGGTGGAAAAATGTTCAGAACAAAATCAATCTGCACCCAGGATCCACGTGTCCCCTGTACATTATAGTTTTACAAATAACAGTCATTCCTATAATGTCCATCCATAGATACATGTAAGAATCATATTGATGGAAATGTTGACAACAAATGATCTTTAAATTTCTTCTGTAATTTTTCTGATTCTTATATATGCATCTAATGTTAGTTGGGTTAGAAAAGATTCAAGCAATTAGGCATCAAGAGTTGACACACTGGGGGCTGGGGATTTAGCTCAGCGGCACAAGCGCCTGCCTTGCAAGCAGGCAGTCGTGAGTTCGATCCCTGGTACCGATAAAAACGAAAAAGACAAAAAAAAAAAAAAAAAAAGAGTTGACACACTGTTTTATCCACTTTATGACAGTTTACACAATTTTTTTCAAAATTAAATTATTGTATTATAGATTTATTTTTCGTGTGGCCATTGTTACAACTATGAATTTGAAAACTCAGACGAATATATGTCTGTATGTGTGCACAGAATTTTTGAATTTAATTAAAAAGAGATAATTTAAAACTCTCCAAGAAATAGTGATGCTATTAAAATATGCCCCATACAGATAAAATGTCTTTAAAAACAATGTCCAATAAATTTGGTTTTAAGTGGTTTTGTATAATCTGAATGCTAGAACTTTATTTTGTGAATACTGATTTAAGAAAAAGTAGCCAAATTATTTTATGAGAATTAAAAAACTATACAGAGCACGTATTCCTTCTGTAAACCTACAGATACTGAGAATCTACTGTATGACATACACTTTCTGAAGATGTAGTAGTGAGTCCACTTAATAGAAATTCTGACTCCAAAAAGAATAGCCTGTCTGAAAATGCATACATAAAAAAGCATAAAATAATGTAAGTACATAATTATTGCAATAGCACTATGTGCTTTGGAGAAAGAACAATATATTTTGAGCATTATTGGGAGTGGTAGGCTATCAGTTTCAGTGAGATGATTGTGCTAATTATGATCCTATGCTTATGGGGTAGATGAGAAGTCTTAGCCAGACACTTCATCTCTGTATTTAAATTTTTCTTGTCCACTTTTCTGAGAAAGTTCTGCTCATTCAAAAATACTTTTACCCTTTGTCTCTGATTTCTTTGATACAAGATGGTATTTTTGAGACTTTGAACTACTTTCTTTGGAATCTTGAATTAGATTCATTGGAGCTTAAATTACATGAGCAAAAAAGCAGATTTGGATAAAGAGAAACTCCCACCATATATCGTTGTTTTGTCTTTTACATACCTAATAATACAATTGTTTGTGCCCTATAACATTAGCAAATGTCTGATTATGTTCATGTATATTCTGAAAGAACATATTGAGATGTTGAGTTATAAATTATATTTCCAACTTATAATAGTGAAATTTAATGTGTCTAAAACAATTGAGAAAAGTTTTCAGTGCACAATACTGAATAGACTCCCATTAAACAGAACTCTTTATTAGTGTCCATTCATTTCTCTATTTAAAATCATATCAAATTATCTCTTCTTACATATAAGAAATTTACCATTTGTCTTATATGTAGTAATTATATTGCCAACTATAATGTATTTAAACTTTACTTACCATCATATGAGTTCATGATCATTTATTAGCATACTTGAAGGGCTTTACTTTGAGAACTTATGTGTGCACAGAATTGAAAGTCAAGGTAGAATGGCATGGAAAAAAACAAATCCAAGGAGTCATTATTAAGATTAGTATTCCTGGGGAACAATGACGTCAACCCCACTGGGAATTTCCAAGATGCCATATAGAACATACTTTTGATGCGAAAGAACAAGTACTCATTCATGAGTTCTGATGTCACTGTTCAAACCATTCAGTTCATTTCCAAGATGAAATGAATATGTGGCTTTTGCATCAAAGTATCTGTGAGAGGTACAGAAAGACGACAGACAGTGGTCTGTGTGTCCACTTAAGATGCTGTCATTGAATTCTTGCCCATAGACAGTTACCATGGCAACAGTGGAGTCACCTGACCAGGAGGATAAAAAAATGGGTGCAAAGAGATTATGAATTCACTGGAGACAAGGTCATTTCAGCATAGAGATTAAATCAAAATCAAATCTGGGATGTCTGATGATTATTCGTAACATCATTGGGTGAACAGCAAATTAGATCTCTGACATTTTCTGGCCAGGACGGCAAATCCTACTTGCTCCATGTTTCTTGTTAGATTGGCGGGGACTAATAAAATTGTAGTAGTCTCTGTGTGAGGGGAACATTGTGCTTCTAAGGAAGGGCAGAAGGCCAATCTATGACTCACTGGTAGCTCTTTGCATATGGGTGTTGTAGGAGATCGTGCTCACATGACTGTCAATCATAGTAAATCAGTAAAGAAAAGCAATGTAAATGTATATATTTAGGAAAAAAAGTTGCTTTTGCCAAACTAATAAGTACAGTGTAGCTATGTACAAATATCCTGATAAATTATGCTTGCTTGCACTGCTGGGTTAATTACAAGGCTCTGTCTCATATCAAGTGTAGACTATAGTACATCAAAATTTTAAGATTTTGAATTTCTTGTGAAGATTTTGTATTTCTTTACAAAAAGAATTATTACTCATTTGTGAAAATTTCAATGTGAAGAAATGCAACTCTTTGTTTAATAAACAATGCATTTGAAACATGAATTTTGAGGGATGGAGTTATAGCTTAGCACTAGAACATATTTGCCTAACCTGTGTGAGGCCCTGGGTTCCACTGCCAGCAAAGCCTATAGAAACAAAGAAAAAACTCAGTTATATGTGTGCATTTAATTGTTTTACTGGTCTAAAGTCTTTTACATATGATGTGTCTTCCTCTCAGTCTATTGTCCCCTCTGACACCTGATAATTACTTGTCCTTGTTGATGTTTTAAGAGAGAAAGCACACCAATAGAAATGAATACTTTCTTATACTTCTCTAATTATGAAAAGCAGCAATTGATTATTCTTCCTTTTCTTTTCTCCTTCTTTCTGTCTCAGTCTCTGTTTCTCTCTCTCTCCCTCTCTCTCTCTCTTTTTCTTTCTCTCATCTCTCTCTGATCTCTCTTACCATCAGTCTCTCTCTCTGTCTTTATGTCCAAGAAACCCCACTGGGCTACATTCCCAGCCTGTATTATTTTTATTACTATTATCATTACTATTATTTTCTCTTTTGAGACAAGGTCGCACTGTCATTACCTTAGGTAGTCTTGAACTTGTGGTCCTCTAGCCTTAGCCTCCCAAAAGAGTTAGATTACAAGTGTGCACCATAACTATTTGTTTTTAAAAATTTGTATAAGATAATTTTGTTTCTCCTACTAGTATAATTTCCCAAACCATATCCTACATTTATTTGCTATATTTTTTGGAAAGTATTTTCACCAATAATTAAATTGTAATACATTAAAATATAAAATCTCCTTGAATATTTAAATTAAACTTATTTTATGAAATAAGCATGATACACCTCTATGATGTCATATAACCTCCATGCAGCAACATTAATTGTAATAGTGATATATGTTTACAAGTTCATATCTCATTATTAATACCATTTATTTTTAAAACTGAGTTGATGAAGTAAGAATATCTGATAAGGTTAAAGCATGGTTATGATTTCTATAGTCATACTACATTTTTAAAAAGTACAAGAATGAATCATCATGCTCAATTAAATATGGTACTTAGCTCTCTGAAAAATAAGATGAGTGTAACAATCTATTTTCAGATGGTGGAGCCCTACCGTTATACCTGAGTATAAGTCTGTTGATTGTCAATTATAAATAATGTTGTTGAGGTCAGTATAAATAGTTGACAAGTGAACCATTCTTTCATACCCTCTTTAGTTTGAGATGACAACATTTAAATTAAAATTTATACTTGAAATACCATATGACAAACCATCACTGATATAAGAGGGACCAGGTCTTTCGAGGTGATTCTAGTGATTGAGTGTCTCTGCTATAGAAAAGAGCACTGATTATCAGTGTTAGAAATATTCTTAATGATTTGTGGCTCCATAGAAAAGGAATGAACTTTTGTAGGCTCCAATTTCAAATTCATGAAAAGAAAATAAATTGATAGTTCTTGTCTGGTCACTGAACTTAAGTTAGATAACATTTCTAAAATCTTTACCACTATACTCACTGTTGACTAGTACTGTAAATCCTACTATAGGAGCTGAGTTTGGCAGTGTGCATCTGTAATCTGAGTCATCCGAGAGGCTGAGGTGGGAGGATATAAATTCTGGCCTTCTCTTGGCAACCTGGAGATTAGCAATAACCTGTCTCAAAATAAAATATGAAAAAGTACTGAGAATATACATGGTATGATCAGCACAAATGACAAATGTTTGAGTTTTATTACAGAGAAAACAAAAACCGTCATTAATTCCCTGCAAAATATTTAAAACACACCAATCCCACCCTTTTGTCACTTTATAAAGCAGTTATAGAAATTTTATTTTGTGTCTTTATGAGATGTGATAAAAATATGGTCAAGTCCAAAGAAAGATGATGGAAATATATTGTGTCTTCATTTACCTTATTCACGAGATCTGGCACCAAAAGACCTCTAATTCTTTACTATTGTCAAATGTACCATGAAAGGTAAAGTATTTGAATTCAAACATGAGCTACAGTCAGCCATGAGAACAACATTAAAGACACTTTACAAATTAATAGAAAGCTACAGGAAGTGACAGGAATGGGGGGATAGCTGTTCAAAGCAAGGGGAGACATTTTGAGGGAATTAATAGTGATGGTTTTTACTATACTAGTTCAGCATAAAGACCCTGGGATTCAATATCGGATACCATAAAAAATACACAAAAGTGATATAGAAAGTTATGTGCATTTTTCAGAACCAAGATATATTTATAAACCAAAGTGAACCCACAAGGAGAGGAAGTGTATTTTTACTTAGTATCAATTATGAAACTTTCTGAAAAACCACATTTAGGTTGTTAAAGTGGAAAATGCCCAAAAAGTTAATGCCTGAGAAAGTATTGTTTACATATTTGTGAAAAAACTGACAAATAGAATAATTCAGTACTGGATGATGAAATTTCTTATCATTAAAAGCATAAGCATTCTGCCTGGTAATGAAGATGTGTGTCCTACCTACACCTGTGCCCAAGAATCACTAAACAATTTTTTAGAATTGATGCCACAGTGTTCCTTCATTAACTAAGCAGATACCGTTTGTGAGTGGCAGAAGTCTTTAAAATGTCTTATACAACTCAGAACAAGTTAGCTCAAGAGGTGTGGAATTATATATTCCACTGAATAAAATGTGAAGAGTATAGCCTCAGAATAGGAGTAACACACTCAAATAGTGTATTACTTATAATTGAAGATAGATAAGATATTGGAAAGTTCTATACTTAATTATGACATCAGTTAATAATTAATGAATTTCAGCTAGCTAAGAAGCATATAATACATTAAATTCCAACCAAGTGGGTTGCATGTATACTAAATGCATGGGTAAATCCTCCAAAGTAAGCAAAATTTGTGGGTAAAAAAGTGAGAAAAACATTCCCATAAAAATGATTACTTTGAAAATGCACTTCATTATTCCTGGGTAAAAGCAGCTCCTCAGAAATTTGTAACAAGAGTCCTTCATCTTGTGTATGAGGTACATTCAATCACTAGTGTTGGGTATGCATGTCTGAATTTATGATATTCCATTGTTCATCATTTATCTTCCTAGAATATTTTTACTTTAGTATTCACTAATCTTGCATAGAGAAATCAAACTATAGTTTGAGAAATTTTAAATAATTGCAGAAGACAAAAACTGGAATAGATTTAAATTAATATAAAAAAAGGATGGGGCAAAGGGGAATGGAATTTTACTTTAAACAGAACCTTATTTTTGACCATGTGTCATATCAATTAATGTTAAGCTCCAAAAATAGTACTACAGTAGCACAGGCAGGAAAGGAGTTTATTCTCCCTTCAAATAGCAATTCAAAATGAGCTTCGGCTCACAATATGTTTTCCTATCATATTTAAGTAACAGTGAAGCAATATGCTCCAATATTTTGAGGACTAAATCCGCTGCATAATATCAATTGGCAGATGAAAATGATTTTGCAAGTTGTCTTTTTTAGCTCTAATATTCTGAAAGTAGATTTACTTCATTTACATTTTATTAGAATAAAAATCTATTTGAAACTTCCCCAAAAGAGAAATGGCTTATAATCTATGTTAAATTTTTAGAAATAGTGCTCGTTAACTTTCAAGGGATAATATGTTAAAACTATTTTAATTGTTAAACAACAGAGAAATAAATAGTTTGCATGGTAGTTTGGAAGAGGACATATGTATCTGAAAGTGTACACCAATAGTCCAGAAATCGACTTTAATGTTAAAGAGGAAAGAGTTAATGTCTTTCAAACTGAGAAGTGCTAATAGAACTGGTCTGTGAATGAAAGGTTCTGAGAAATACAGTCCTTCCTGTGGGAAGGGAATGGGAGGGGAGACTATTTAGAAGAAAACCTCTTCCTCCCCATCCCACCTACCCAGTGGGTAATGTCAGGTGTAGCCAGGGCTCTGAGATCAGCAGTCTTCCAGTGGACATCAAGAAACAAGGATGGAGTGGAAGTGAAAGGCATAAATGGGACATGGACGTTTGTTCAATGGTAGGATTGTAATTATCTGGGAACTTAACAATATTGCTGTGGCTGCTCTACAGTGAGCATCTACTTTGTCTCCAGATTGAGCAAAGGAAGCTACTGGCCATCATACAGGTAGTAAAATGTTACTGGGTACTGGAGTGCTGTGTTTCCCTTCCAGGGTTTCTTTCTAGGTTCTCACTTTGAGCAAAAAATTGGACAAAACAAGTGTGAAAAGAAGCAAGGTTTTACATTTTTTAAAGATAGGAAAAGAAATATGTTGTGCAAAATGAATGGGAGCCAGTTAAAGATAGGAAAGAGTACACTCAAAAAGGTAAGAAAGAGAGCACAGTGATAGTAAGTCTAATGCTGGTCATCCTCTATATCCTCCTTCCTTAGGCTAATCTTAGCTCTAGCTCATCTTCTCAAAAGCCTGCTTGATTTCTCAAGAGAGGGAATGAAGATAGCACTTTCTGATTGGCCCTATGTGCAGATCTTACAGTGTGTTTCTGGGCAATGTTCTAGCATTTTGCGACTGACAGAACACAATCACTTCTTGTCACTTTGGCATACACTAATCTGCTGTCTCACATCTTCCAAAAGCGCTTTATGACAAAACTTCTATGAACTCTTGGGGCTGGGGATTTAGCTCAGCGGCATGAGCGCCTGCTTTGTAAGCAGGCAGTCGTGAGTTCGATCCCTAGTACCGATAAAAATGAAAAAGACAAAAAAAAAAAAAAAAAAAAAACAAAAACAAAAAACTTCTATGAACTCTCTCATAGTCTCCTGATTAAATTATCCACACCACCTGAATCATGAATACTTTTCCTATGAAAGCAGAGCATTGTGCTGGGCAAAGCATAAATGACAAAGGGGACTTTACCAAACCTATTGTGATAAGGGAGAGAGACTTAAACTCAGCCTGAATCTAACTCCATTAAAATAAAAGGCTGGAAAATTTAAGAATAGAGATAGGTCATCTTGGTCTATTTGTGCTAGCTTTTTGATTTTACGCTGTTTGGTTTCCCAGACAAGAAGCAAGTTTACGTTTTAGAGCAAAGAACCAATGAAATATTGCCGTATCCTTATAGAATAGCTGAGAGGGGTCCATCTTCCCTCATGATTACAATTCAAAGGAATGGTTTTCTGGTACTTGAGTAAGAGGACATTGAATTTTAAGACTGCAAGGAGTCTGTAGGTATTTAGACGTCACAGTTTTAAATTTCTAATGTAAATTATCTCAAATAACTGAAGGGAGGGACCTCTGTGGTTTGATGTCTGCATTCTGTAATTTTGGTGAGAGGGAGGTCTGGGACTTAAACACTGGAAGAATGATGCTGGGTCAGATGAGAAAAAGGTTTAGTATATGTTGATCACATTTTATGTTTTAAGAAGCTACTGTTTTTTTTTTTCTTAAAATAATAGTGTTAAATATGAATTTTTTTCAGTAATGTGCTTTTTCATTAGTTCAGCTCATCCTGATCCTATGTTTTATAAGTTTATGAGGGTAAGGCACTCTTCTCATTGCTACAAATATGATAATGAATCTGAATTTATCAACTTCAAGCATAAGCTCATACTGAGGAAAAGAGAGAGAAGTAACTAGAGTGAAATTTGGAACAAATAAGCAATATTCCAGGAGAGCTATCTAAAGAGAAAAATGATTTAGTATAAGGGAATAGAGAGTGACAGACACTAAGAATGGGTGTCTAATGCTATCAAATTTATTAACTTTGATACAGTGCATCTCTAATAATACCTAACAAGTGTGGCAAGTAATTGCAGTGAGTCCAATATGATCTTAAACATTTAATATATAGCTCATTTAATCATGAAAAAACATGATTAAATGAAAAAAGTCATATTGTCCATTTTAAAATGAGGAAAAGTTTAATTTATGCTGAATGTCATAGTTACATTCTTTGGTCACTGAAACACTACAACTGAAAACCACAATTCTAAGGAGAAAACGTTATTTTGATTTAGAGTTGTAGAGGACTTGATTCAAAATTGGTTGCGACCAAGGCAAGTTGGCATGGCACAGGAGAAACAGTCCATAGAATAGCATCAAGATGCAATGAGAAGATTAAAGGATAAGGGACAGAGGTAAACTCTTCTGGGCCCCGTGTGACACACCTGCTTCAACCAGGCTTCACCTGGTATTATATTTAGCCTGTAACTGTCACATCTGCATGATCCAGTTACCTCCCCAAAACTCCATTTATGAGTACAAGAGGCTTTTGTGGGACATTTAAATATAACCTCAAAGAAGAAATTAAATAATTTACATAAGTTCATCTAACTGGTAAATAGCAAAGTAGATAGTTTGCCCCACATTCTATACCAGATCAAAGTTCTCACTGGTTCTGTCACACACCTTCTTGCCTGAGGGATTGCATTAGCGTTTATATTATGTGATTCCAGTCTTCAGAAAAATCTTGAGAAGGGAAGCATTGTTGTATGTAAGTCCTTGTGATCAAGAAATACATCAAATGGAATGAGGATATAATATATCTAAAAAATGAGTGATAATTTATCACAATAAATGGTCAAACTGTTGCATAGACAATAAATATACATCTAAACTCCTTTTGTGTTACACATTGTTTGCAAACTTCTGTGACAATACTAAACACTTACTGAGAAAACACAATATTGGTTTT